GGCTCAGGTCATGATCCCAGGGTCCTGGGATCGAGTCCCGCATCGGGCTCCCTGCTCCTTGGGAGCCTGCTTCTCCCTCTGCCTCTCTCTCTCATGAATAAATAAATAAAATTAAAAAAAAAGAAATTTCTGTTGTTTAAGCCACCCGGTCTGTGCTATTTTGTGAAGACAGCACATGCAGACTGATATACATACTTACTGTGTATTTTAAATAACCTATGTCAGATTAAGGAGCGCACTTGTGAGGAGGACCAGATGTTGTAGGGAAGTGTGGAATCACTCTATTGTACAGTTGAAACTAATATTACACTGTACGCTAAGTGGAATTTAAATAAAAACTAAAAAAAACCCCAAAACACCCATGTCAAAATATCATTGTCCCTGGGGAAGACTAACACAAAGGGCTGTTGTCAGACATTCATGCCCTAGGATTACTTAATATGCTGCTTTCTTTACAATGAAGTGAAATACTGGCACCTGGAGGTGGAACTAGGGGCAGCTAATTAGGGATTGGCAGAGCTTCTGGAAGTCACAGACACTTCACAGTACCGAGTTAATAAATGCCAAAACAGGGACATCTGGGTGGCTCAGTCAGTTAAGCATCTGCCTTCAGCTCAGGTCATTCAGCTTAGGTCATGATCCTAGGGTTCTGAGATGGAGCCCAAGGTCGGGCTCCCTGCTCAGTGGGGAGTCTGGCCCTGCCCCTCCTTCTGCTCATGCCCTCATTCTCCCCCGCCCACTCTCAAATAAATAAAATCTTTTTTTAAAAAATGCCAAAACAGGGGTGCCTGGGTGGCTCAGTTGGCTGAGCATCTGCCTTCGGCTTGGGTCGTGATCCCAGGGTCCTGGGATGGAGCCCCGCCTCAGGCTCCCTGCTGGGTGGGGAGAGCCTGCTTCTCCCTCTCCCCATCCCCCCCAACCCCTTGTGCCCTCTCCCTATCTCTCTCAAATAAATCAAATCTTTAAAAAAATGCCAAAACAACCATTAATAACTCTGGGAATTATTTAGATATTGTAGCAATGTTTTGTTTTTGCTTAGTGAGTTGTATAAATTGTTTATCAATGTGAATAAACATTGCTAGTTCCTTCTGTTCAAAATATAACCTGACTCTACCCTTTCTTCCTACCTCGACTGCCCTGATCCTAACCAATCCACTTCGGTCACAGCACCCTCTCTCATGATTTGTTCTTTACCAGAGTATACTTACCAGTACCAGAGTATACTTATTAAAAAATGGAAAACAGATCCCAACTCTTCCTACGCAAAACTGCTTTCTATCACATTTAAAAAAAAATTCAAACTCCTTGCTATGCTATACCGTGTATGTGCAGTGTTTTATATTGTCTATGATTTACTTCAAAACGCTTCAGTATCAGCTGTGCAATATACCTTATTTATTCTAAGATGCATTTTTTTCACTTTTTATCACCTCTAAAATTGGGGTGAATGTTACTATTAATGGCATGACATAGTTTAAATGAAAGCAGTGTTTCTTGTTGCACAAAAGAATGATGGGTCTTAAAATCTATGACCTCGTGGAGTCATAGAATCAATGATTTAATGAAGTGGTATATCTATCCACAAAATGATCTTCTGAAATACTGGCCTAGGGTGGGGCAGTGGAGGTAGGAAGAAGGGGTGGATTTAATATATATTTTGGGTTTTCTTTTTAACACACTACCATAGTCACCATAACTATTTTTATTACATTACAATTAGGAGCAGTACAGTTCATGACGAAAATATTACAAATTTCAGATCACCTCACAGCACATATTCCTATAAACATTTATTTTTTAATATATTTTATTTATTTGAGAGAGAGAGAGAGAGAGAGAGAGAGAGCACGAGCTGGGGGAGGGGCAGAGTAGAAGGAGAAGCAGACCTCCTGCTGAGCAGGGAGCCCGATGCAGGGCTCCATCCCAGGACCCTGAGATCATGACCTGGGCCGAAGGCAGACGCTAAACTGGCTGAGCTACCCAGGCATCCCTGTGTGTTTTCCTTCTTGAGGGTGGCCACTTTTTAATACAAGCTGTGGAGGCCAAGAAGTGTGAATAATAGGAGTTTCCATAAGATGCACCGGTGAGGATTTCTTCTTGTCCAGGAACAGAGGCATGATGTGACATTTCGGGGCGAGGGCCAGAGTCAGGTCCATGGAGGTCCTGAGGATGAGAAACCTGGTTTCTCATCCTCCGTACTATTGCCATTTTGGAACATATGATTCCTTGTTGGGGGGCTGTTCCGTGCTGTTTAAATGGTTAGCGGCATCCCTGGCCTCCACCCGGGATGCCCCCAGCAGTCCAAATGTTGTGAACCAACAATATCTCTGGGCATTGCCAAATGTCCCCTTAGGGGCCAAAATTGTTGAGAATCGCTGGTCTATAGGTGATGCCCTCAGAGATCTGACTCAAGTCCTGGTTCCCAGCACCCCCAAACCTTGTGGGGTGCTGTTCGGGTGACTGGGGATGATGGGGCCGGTACTTAGGATGATGGTAATACCATGTGGTAGTGAGATGCTGCTGCTCGTAGTGATGATGGCTGGATCCTTAGCTCTGAAGCTAGTGGCAGGGCTGGCGTGCCAGTGGCTGAGATCTGAGCTATTGGCAATAGCTTTGGAGGCTTCCCAGTCAAAAGGAGTCCCAATTGGACAGTCTGTCCTCATAGTTCAGCAGGTGCTTGGGACACACCCACAATGTAAATCACACTGGCCTCTGGGTATTCCCCTTGTGCAAGTCAGCAACAACAAGAGGCCTGGGGCAGGGGAGGAGGGGACATGCCAGACCTTGCCGCTCTTCCTCGTGGTCTCTCTTCTCCAGCCCCACTGAGACTCTGCCCCTATCTTTAGTGCTCCTCCAATGCCTGTATCCCCCATTACTGTCCTCCAAGCCGCCATGTGCCCCGGTCCCGCCCCTAAGTCTGGTCCACCCTGTGCCTCTCTCTCTCATCCCCCGGCCCTCCTTGCTTCCCAGCTACAAGTTTCTCATGGGCTGAGATGACCTGGAGCTGGCCCAGTGCCCACCAGCCTGGCACAGGAGAGCTCCCAAGTTTGGGGTGAGTGGAAAAAGTCCCCAAACTAAACCCATCTCTGCCACCTTATACTGCACACGCAGGGCTCCAAACACTTGTCAGGCCCTCAAGCCCCAGGCAGAAGGCCACAACCAGACTGCAAACACTGATATAATCCAGCCAATGGGGGAGATTCGCCTCTGGCCACCACCACCCACTGCCCAGCCAGAGCTCCAGAGCCTCCCCTAGCCCTATGATGGGGAAGGGGAGAGAGGGCACTAGAGGTCTTCCCAGGATTGGCACAGAATGGGATATACCCGCCTGATTGTGTCTCAAAGCCAAAGCAGCTCCCATTCCTCCCTGCAGTCCCCAGGGACACGTTGGACTCTAGGATGGAAGGCAAGGGAGTGAGGGACTGCATTCCCTGGAGCAGGGGGTCTGCAGATTTCGAAGGGCAGGCCAAAGAAAGGCATAGGGTTCTTGCAAGCTTGACAAATCCTATGAATATAGCAGAATCCATGGGATCCCTTAAGTCTTCTGAGTCTTGCCAGGCTCCCCAACATGGGGCCTCCAGCGACCATTTCTTTATCTGGTAGTTCCTAGGAGTCTGACAGCTGCCAGGCTAACCTTCCCCAAAGCCCAGTGGCCCCACATCCCTTCTGAGCATCCCTGCCCTACTGCTTCAAGCCAGGGCTCCCTTCTTGGCTGCCCGACCCTGGGGGGTCTGCAACCTCACCTCTAACCCAACCTGATCTAATAGCAGCCAGGCTCCTCAGTGTCCTCAGATATTCCAAGCCCTCGTCTATCTCTGGCCTGACCCCCAAGACCCAGTCACTTGTTGGTGGAAAGCCCACTTCTCTCCCATCTACCTGTCCAAATTCTGTCCATCCTTCAGTGCCTCTCCCAGATCGGGGGATGTGCAGTCTGAGGACAGCTTAGATGTCATCTACGACCGCCTCCTACCAAGGACACCCAGGGAGCCTGGCCCACGGACTCCGCCCACGTTTCTCTTCTGCCCCTAAATGCTGCACACCCAGCTGACCCTCTCCCCTTGGTGCTGGATCTCACACACTCTCAGATCAGTCTCCAGTTGTTTCCTGGGGTATGTTTGCCTCCCCCATAGACTAGAAGCTCCCAGAGGGCAGAGACGGCAGCTTCCACCTCCCTATGCCTGGTCCAGAGCTCGGGAAATCCTGAACAGTAGCTGGAGCCCATGGAGTTGTTCTTGATCAGGCTAATTTATCTCCCCTGCCTCATTATCCCAGCACCGTGAATTTGCCCCCACACCGCAAAGGGATCTTGTCAAAGTCTAGGGTCTGGGATCCTTTCATTGTGATGGTCTCCCTGGAAAGAGGCATTTGCTCAGCACCCTCTGGTCTCATCTCCCTCTGAGCACCACCTGCCTCAAACTCATCAAAGGCCCCTTTTGGCTAAGTAAATAAAATCCCAACTCATCACCCTGGCCTGGAGGACGTGCTGAGTCTGGCCCCTTCCCCCTGTTTCCATGCTCAGCTTCCAACACTACCCTATACATCCTCTATCCTGTAGGCATAGTGACCGCCTCGCTTTCTCCCAAGGAGGCATGGTATTTGCCAACCTCCATGCCTTTATCCATGGTGTGCCCTCTCTCTGGGATGCCTTCCCAAGCATCTGCACTTGCAAAACCCCCGCCTCTTTCAAGACCCAGTACAAATGCCACGAAGCCTTCCCTACGGTGCCCACCTATACTCAAACTGGCCCCTATAATGGAGGACTTTGCCTTTTCTTCTCTTATGGTA